TGAGACAACCTAGGCCTATTTTAAACCCTAGCATTGTAATAACTTTAGCAATGCTATCAATATCGATAAATCATGGGGAGAACCCAAAAATTTCAATAGAATTGAGTTCAAATGATAACATCAAAAGATGATATTTTATCTTACTACATTGAACTTGGCTCGCTTCACCCATGAAACTGCTCGGCACTAAATGATGGAGAGATCGACCAGCAAGTCGCTGTCATGGAAGCATGGAAAGATGGGAATTTTCTGTGTTGGAACTACATCCTCAATGGGTTGAAGAATACACTATACAATGTGTATAGTGTTAAGAAGACTGCAAAAGAAATTTGGGAATCCTTGGAATTGAAGTAGAAAATTGACGATGCCGATTCGCAGAAATTCATTGTCAGCCATTTTCTTGACTTCAAAATGGTAGATTCCAAGATTGTCATAAGTCAAGTTCAAGACCTCCAATTGATTCTGCATGACGTACATGCAGAAGGAATGATTCTTAGTGAATCATTCCAAGTTGCAATAATAATTAAAAAAAATTCTATCAACATGGAAAGATTTCAAAACTACCTAAAGTACAAATGTAAAGAGATGAAATTGAAGGAACTTATTGTGTGGCTTCGTATTAAGGAAACCAACTGTGGATCCAAGAAGAAATCTGGTGGCCACAGCATGCCAGCGAAAGCAAATGTTATGGAATAAGGACAAGGGTCAAGATCCAAAAACAAAAAGAGAAAGCATGAAGGCTTTAAAAGTGGAAAGAACAAAAAGTTCAAAGGAAAGTGCTTTGTGTGCGAGAAAGATGGGCATCGTGCTAAGAATTGTTATAGTCACAAGGAAGGCAGAAGCTCGAGCAAGAGGACAGCACAAGCTCATATGACCAAAGTTGAGTACATCTCCGATGGTGTAAGAGACATTAGTTTCTCTACTATGGTTTCTGAGGCAAACTTAGAGGGTAAAATTAAGGAATGGTGGGTGGACACTGGGGCTACTCTTTACACATGTGCTAATAAGAAGATGTTCGCAACCTACAAAGTATAGTGGAGAATGGAGAATTACTCTATATGGGAAATTCTTCAACCTCTACAATTGAATGACAATGAAAGGTTGTGCTAAAGATGACTTCGAGCAAAGAACTCACTCTTAATGTATGTATGTAGAATCTGATCTCCGGGTTACTACTGATAAAAAATGAGTTTAGGCTAGTCTGTGAATCTGACAATGTATGTAGAGTGATAGTATTTGAGTAATGGGCTTTTTAAGCTTAATGTACTAACTGTTGTAGCTTTTTTTTTTGCAATTAATAATAAAAAACAGTTTCTATTTATATTGTTGAGTCTTTCTTTTTATGACATGGGAAATTATGCCACATTAATTTTAAGTCTATGCGTAGATTAGTTTGCTTGGAATGTTTTCCAAACTTAGAATTTGATCTTAATCATAAATGTGAGATTTGTGTTGAGGCAAAACTCACTAACACCTCATTTAATAAAGTAGAGAGAAGTATTGAACCTCTAAGTATTGAACCTACTCGGACCCGCCCGTATAGGTTTAGCATCATGACCGACCAATAATCTTAGATTACCTACGACCTCAATTAACAAAACATCTTTAGATTAATTTGTGGGGCTTAGCGGAAGCAATGTAAGACTTGAAAATAATCCATCGAGCTGTGCTTATATGAAAAGACTTCACATTAAAGCTGTGCAACCATTCATAGAGTGCAGTGATAACAAAAGTTTGAAACATCCAATCCATCTAACAAAACTCCACAATTTATAATTAAACAAAAACCCCTATACAAAAACCAAAACGAAAAGTTCAAAACAAAAGGAGTTTAGACTTTGCTTGGCTCCACATGAGCCCAAGCTGGCTCCTTCTCGGAAGCTCTACAAAAGGATGACAATGGGGTGACTTCGAGGCAATCTCTATCCTTGATGCTCAACTTGCTCACCTACATATACATATAAATAGTGAGCTAGGCCCAGTGAGTAATAACAGAATAAAGAGTTTATATGAATGAAGTTCAATAACATTCCAAATATCAATTTCCAATTCTACTCAAATCTCGATATCAATAGCCATTTCATTCGATTTACGTGGCACATCCAGTAAGGTAACAATGCTTTAATCACAATGGGACCCCAAGGGTCATTCCATGGGATCACGATGGGTCAATGAATATTCCATGTTCAATGTGACCATGTGGGTCTAACATTAGAGATTTCTGTGTTTCAATTGATCCAATGGGCCACAGCATTGTTTTCCTTGGGCAAGGGCCAATGGGCCATGGTATTGTTTCCCCCAGGCAAGGGCCTATTAAACAATGGGCCATGGTATGACATAGCTTGGCATTGCCCCTGGCTTAACCTGACTGAGATGAGCTACAGCATGGCTCGGCAGCCTAGCGTTCAGTTGATCGGCCTCACACACTATGTGTTCTACTTCTCTTTCTGGTTTAGGCATCAGTTTGGGCATGATCAGATCTGCCCGAATGAGGGGATAGAGTACCCAGTTTCATTCCCCATCCAAGGTTCACACTTAGCTAGATACCTCACTGCTTGGAGGACGAGAGAGCTTCTAGTCCCTGCCCCTAGTTTCAGTTGCACCCTTGCTGGCGAGTGTTTGGCTTGGCTCAAGGATGAGGCACAAACTAGGCCCACTTTACCTTCAGAAGCTTCCACAAGCACGAGCGGGGGACGCGCGAGCACCTGACTCATCTATGCCCCTAGTTTATTGTTTTGACCTTTCCTTTAATATTTTTTTCGATGTAATAAAAGCAACCTTGATTTGTATCAGAAAATTGGAGAACTTTGTATTGAAATCAATGAAATTAAAGTTGTAAGCACTGAAAATTTTCCCTTTTGGTCCAAAAATGGTCTAAGTTGTAAAAGGTAAAATTTGAACAAAATCAACTTTTATTAAAACTTTTCAAAACCATTTTCAAAAAGGATCACCACTTGACATGCACGGAATCAATCCTCAAGATGTACAACCCCAAATCCAAAGATCACGAATTGCCCCTTAATTGAACACCACTGCTTAGCATTGTAACTAGCTCTTCTCTGAGAGTAGAGATCCCAACCAAACTCTTAAGTAAAGAACAGACAAAGTTGAACTGATCAGACACATGGACAGGACAATTGATTTGGAGATGCTTACGGCCAGACTTCAGGATGAAGTTGCCTACATATCCCAAAGATGGGAATCAGGCCTTACGTAGTTCAGTTCGGGTTCACTCGAGTATTAACTCTCTCCTTTTGCGCTCTAACTTTTGCAAAGGCTGCCCTTTAGGGTTTTCAACCTTGCGAGCTCAGTTTTTCTTTATTTCTATTTTTGTGCTCTAACTTTTGCCTAGGTCGCCCTTCCGGGTTTTTGGCCTAGCGAGCCTCTCAGGGATCATATTTCTTCAACTTGTACATGTTGATCTGTTGGGAAAATTCTAGGCCATCTAGGTCCATGAGAATAACAGCTCCACCCGACTAGATAGTTTTGCTAGTGTAAGGACCAGTCCAATTGGGTCTGAACTTGCCCCTAGGGTCATCGATGGGAGCTTGGTTGTCTTTTAGCACCATACACTACTAGACATATGACCTTTTGCGACTGATTGTTTAACCATCGCAAAAAATTACTTTTTACACCACAATCTAATTGTACTCTAATTGTACTTAAAACTCCAAACGCATTATTTCCCAATCCTGTCTCCATTTCGCGCTCTCTTCGGCTAAAGAGACCTCCAACGGTATGTCTCTCTCTCTCTCTGTCTTAAAATCTCACTCTCCACTCTCTGTCGCTCGACTCTTTCTTTCGATTCTCCACTCTCAATTTTATTATTCATTTGAAAATTTGGATCAATTGTTGATGAAGATTTGAAAATTTTGATCGATTCGTAATAGGTAAGCCTAATTTATATGAATGAATCCAACTCTCTCTCTCTCTCTCTCTCTCTCTCTCTCTCCTCCGCTACGCCTCTTCTCCGTGATGGATCCTTCTCTTTCTCTTTCTCACTAGAGCCAACTATAGAGACCTCCAAATTTTCAATTCTAGGGTTTAATAAAGTATTTATTTTCAAATTCTTGAGATTTCTAGTGTAAAGAAGAGGTCTTGCAGTGCCTCCTCGAAGCTTCTCACTGTAATGTTCTGAAATCTATGCTTGATTGTATCTCCAATCGGTTCGTCGATGTCAACTTCGTTGGCGTTGTGTGCTTGAAGGTTTGAAAGGAAGAGCTATCATGTCACAATGAATTGGCGAATGAGGTTCGCGTTGAGTATGAAGGGTTCAAGACTGATGTCATGGTGTTTTTCCTTGCTATTCATGCTAGAACTGTGACTCTCGTCAGGAAACTACTGGTAATGTGATTTTAGTCTTTGATTTTGATTGCATATGTTTGATCAACTTATTGTTTCTTGCTCTGTTCTATATCACAAAAGTCATTTTTGATTTCATTCTGCTTATTTTGAAGCGTTTCATATGTTAAAAATGCTAAGTGTTCAACATGTTCGCTTACATGTTTGTTTATCTGCATTTTGTTGATCTTTACCTCTCTGGTTTTTGTTTCAATCTCTTCTTATTTTTTGTTTGAATCTCTGTGTGTTTGAAACCCCAAATGCCTATCCAACACCCAGCAATGTGTCTAGGAGTGGTATGACCACTAAACCATTTATGCCATTATTGTTCATCATTACCTATGGAGTACTCCAATAATGTGGAATATGTATTAAAGTACCTTCTTAAAATGCATGATTCACTTTGGTTGGCAGAGGAGCCAGATGACTTCTATGAGTTAGTTTTGTGAGGAAGATGATAAACATGACTCCTCTTTTTGCTTTAAAGTATCTACTCATCTTTGTGGACAAAATGTTTGTGAAATCACATTACTTTTATTTGAATAAAGTTTTAAAGAGAGGGAGAGAGAGAGAGAGAGAGAGAGAGGAAGTTAAGAAGGGATCTGAAGTTTGGTGTTTTGATCAGATTGGATTGGATTGGATCGACTAGGTTTTGGAGGATGGATTTGGATGCGTTTCGGATGATTTTGTCGAATTTGAGAGTGAACGTATGGGAGTTAATCGAAACAGCAATCACTGTGGCTTCGTTGGACTACGGGCACCAGTTGAAGGATCGAAGGAACAGAATCATGGAACGACTCTACACAACAACGAGCTCTGATTTGCAGTGCCAGAACTGCGACGTTGATCTCCAGAGACCCAACAGTGTTTCCAAAAAAGAGGCTTTGTCTTTGGATTTCATCAAGAAAGAGAGAAGTCATGATAATGAACAACAATAACAACAAAAGGAAGGAGATTTGCCTTCAACTCCGCAGTCAATTCATAGAGACGATGACGATGACAATGACAATGAAGAATTGGATCCGTACGGAGGATTGTTTGATGATGAAGAGACCTGAATTCTTGACATCAAAGAACAACTTGAAGATCCAGACCAGGAATTCATTCAATTTTATCTTCAATTATTGAATCTTAGTTTTCTGATTATTATTATTATTACAAGTATTAATTTTTGAAATTGTGTTGTTGAACTATAATTTCTTTGTTTCAGTCTGAAGAGTCCCAGGTTGAATTGCTTCAAAGCCTTGCAGATATGGATATAACATTCAAAGCACTCAAGGTAATTGAAAACATGTCTAATATATATATATATATTTCATTTTCATTCTTTCTAAGAGTCTCTGTCTCAGGAAGCTGATATTGGGAGGCATGTGAATCGTTTGCGGAAGAATCCATCAAATGATGTGCGGAGATTAGTTAAACAACTCGTCAGGTTTGAAGATTCGAAACTAAAACAAACAATTTTGAAAGAAAATAGTGTATGTTTGTTTGTTTTACTATACACAGACATGGACAAATAGCTGTGGGAGTTGTTAGAATATGGTTTTTTTTCTTTACAGAAAATGGAAAGATTTGGTTGATGAATAGGTTAAGTTGAATACACCCAATAAACTTGGTTCTTCTTCTCTCATTGGTAATATCACCCAAAATTCTTAACCTTTCTCTCTCTTACTTTCTCTTTGTAGATACAATAATTACTTGTTTGAATTGAACTAAAAAAGAGGTTCATTAATGGTGATGGTGGGGGTGTTAGCAGCTGATGGAGACTCTCCTCAACAAAATGTACCACCTAGTAATACCTGAAACGGTCTTCACCACCAGGTAAAAGTTAGCGTTTACTTCCTCGCTTGGCTGCGCTTTTTTGATAAACAAAATATTTTAAGGTTTTTGTGAAAATTCCAAACTTTTGATCTCCAAAGTTGTGGTCTTTACAGGTTCCTGATTTTGCCTACTCTCCAAATCCACAAAGTAACTATTGAATCTAATTCCTAGCTCAATTGGGTCTATTTGTTTTTATCTTTTTGTGGATTTGATTTGATATGATATATATCAATTTTTTTGTCTTTTTTAATTAAAATTGTTGTAGATGGGAGCTCTGGTTCAGACAAGAACAACTCTGAACTAGAACCTAAAGCAAAAGTAGTTCCTCGAAAAGATGCTCCTCCTGCCAAACCGACCCATTCTATTCCCCTATCTGCTTCTGCCCCTCCTCCCAAGGTACCCTTTAAATTGTCCTCTATTTGGTTGATGAGAAAACTGAGGAGGAAATAAGTGGAAAGGGCTTTTTTAGGTCTTTTAATTTTTGCATTTTTTCAATCATCCCCAAAAGAAAAACAAAAATGAACTCAATTTTAGGCTTTTTAGAGAAAATATTTTTGGATTCCACATTTTCTTTTTAGCAAGCACCGGCCTCCACGCGGTAGAAAGAAAGTGTTGTGAATCACATTACTTTTACTGTGAATTGCAGAGACAACAGAAGGAATCAAGCCTCGACCTTGAACAAGAAAACAGCTTCATGAGAATTACCAAGAAGCTGAGAATAGATACTTTACTATATTTTGGCTTTACTAGCATTCTATTTGAATTGTATTTTTGTCATAAAAGAACTTTTTGTATTAACTTTCACATATGGCTCCAATTTTGATACTCAAATGGAATGCCTAATTAAACTATAATATTGTCTAATTGTCATTACTATTTCTAAAATGCTTAACGTTACACTTTTTTTTTTTTTTAAATTTTCGCGCAAAGGTAACAAGATGGTTGTCAAAAAACATGTTAGCATTTTTCTTTGTTTTTTGCGACGGCAAAATAACGGTCGCCATAAGTAGTTTAGGCGGTTACGAATAATTTGCGACCGTTGGTTTGCCGTCGCAAAAAGTATTTGCCACTCCCACATTCGCGACCCCCATTTGCCGTCGCATGGGCCGTCGCAAAAGGTCTTTTGCGACTGTATTTTTACTATTTGCCACGGCTTGTAGCGGTCACAAAAAGTGTTTTTTTTAGTAGTGATATCTCCCTCTTTGAGATTCCAGGACTTAACCTTCTTGTTAAAAGCCCTAGAAATCCTACGTTGATAGCCCTAAACATGGTATAATGCTTTCAGCCTTCTTTCGTCGAATAGCATTAGCTCCTCAAACTTGCTCTGTTGCTAGTCTGCCTCTGCTATTTGGCACTCCTCCATAACTCACAGCGATGGGACTTCTATTTCAATTGGCAGAACAACTTCCATCTTGTAGACAAGAGAATAAGGTGTTGCCCTTGTAGACGTCTAGATTGAAGTTCTATAACCCCAGAGTGCGAATGGCAATTTATCTGGCCAGTCCCTATAGGTCTCAACCATCTTCTGTAGAATATGCTTGATGTTCTTTTTGGCAGCCTCAACAGCTCCGTTGGTTTGCGGCCGGTATGTAGATGACTTATGGAAAGTGACATTGGATTTCTCCAACAAGTCTATCACCTCCTTCTTAAAGTAAGAGCCATTATCTGAAATAATCTCATTTGGGACCCCATAATGGCAAATGATGTTGTTTTTGATGAACTTAGCCACATGCACTACTTTCAACACTACATAGGATAAAGCCTCCACCCACTTTGTGAAGTAATCAATTGCCACCAGAATGTATGCATGCCTATTCAACCCTTTTGATGTGACTGCACCGATGACGTTAATTCCCCAGACTGAGAAAGGTCATGGCAAAGTCATATTGTACAGTTTTGACGGTAGGATGATCATGCGATTAGCACGAATTTGGCATTTGTGGCATCGCCGAACAAAACCAATACAATCCTCATCCATGATAGACCAGTAGTAACCTTGCCTAAGAATCTTTCGAGCTAACATCACTCCATTCATGTGTGCTCTGCACTCTCCTCCATGGATGGCCTCCATCAGGCGCTTTGACTCCTCTTCTTCGACACACAACTTGTGCATTCCCAGATGAACCCTCTCGTACAGTTTACCTCCACAGATGATAAATTGAACGGCCATCCGCCGTATTGCCCTTTTGTCCTTAGCATTTGCCCCTTGTGGATAAATCTCCTTTTCCAAGAAGTTACAGATATCATAGTACCAAGGGTTTTGATCTTGCGCTTCATCTATTGCGGCGATAGTCTTATAGGCTGGCATGTATCTCTGCTCAATGATGATCAAACACATCTAGACTCCAAGCAGGATGTCTATCATGAAAGATAGAGTTGATAAAGCATCAGCGAACCTGTTGTTCTCTCTTAGTAGATGCGTATAAGTTAGCTTTTCAAACCTAGGAATTAGAACGTCCAAGGTTTGGTGATAAATCTTCATTTTTTCTTCCTTGACTTTCCAGTCTCCATTTGCTTAAGAAACAACTAGGTTCGAGTCCTCGATAACATCCAACCTTTTTGCCCCTAGTTCCAGGGCGGCTTCCAAACCAGCGATAAATGCTTCATATTCTGCTTCATTATCGGACACCTTGAACGGGAGTTTGAAGGCTAAAGATATATGGGAATTGTCGGGTGTTATCAGCAACACACCTATCCCATAACCGTATTGATTAGACACTCTGTCAAAGTACATGCTCCAAGTCTCTTCCTCAACTTGCAGAATGGCTTCATCTGGGAACAGGTATTCTACCGCTTCATCCCTTTCTACTGGGTGGTCTGCCAGGAACTCCACTACAACTCTCCCCTTGACCGACTTGCAAGTGACATACTTGAGATCAAATTCGGAGAGAAGAAGCAACCAACGAGCTAGCCTACTCGTAAGCGTTGGTTTATCAAAGAGATACTTGATGGGATCCAATCTCAAAACCAGAATTACGGAGTGAGCTAACAAGTAGTGCCTCAACTTCCTGGTAGCCCATACCAAGGCTAAGCAAGCTTTCTCCAACGGAGTATAGCGGGTCTCGTAATCCAGCATTTTCTTGTTCAAGTAGTAGAAGGCTTTCTCCTCCCTATCCTCAGATTCCTGAGCAAGCATGCATCCCATTGTTGTGTCCGTTATTGACAGATACAGAATCAAAGGCTTCCCCGGCTCTGGCTGCAACAGCACAGGTGGATTTTGAAGGTACTACTTAATCAGCTCAAAAGCGAATTGACATCGATCATCCCATCGGATTTCTTTCCTTTCTTTAGGAGACCAAAAAGTGGTTCACAAGTCAAGGTTAATTTAGAAATAAACCGTCTTATAAATTGCACTTTACCCAGAAAGCCTCGCACCTCTTTTTTAGTCCTTGGTGGTGGCATTTCTAGGACGGCCTTGATTTTAGAAGGATCTACCTCCATGCTCCTCTGTGTGATCAAGAAACCCAACATCTTCCCTACTGTTATGCCGAAAGTACATTTCTACAGATTCAACCTCAGTCTGTATTCCCTGATCTGTTGAAAGAATTTCGTCAAGGCGGTGTAGTGGCCCTCTATTTCTTTGGACTTGACAATCATGTCATCCACATACACCTCGACCTCTTTGTGGACTATATCATGCAAAATAGTGATTGTAGCCCTTTGATAGGTAGCCCCAGCATTTTAAAGCCCAAACGACATCACCCTATAGCAATAGGTACCCCACGGCATAGTGAATGCAATTTTCTTTCTGTCCTCGGGCACCATCAGAATCTGGTTATACCCGAAAAATCCGTCCATGAAAGAGAGCAATGCATGGCCCGCGATGAAGTCTACCAACTCATCAATATGTGGCAAAGGGAAGTTGTCCTTCAGACTGGCTCTGTTCAAATCTCTGAAGTCCACACACACACGAATTCTCCCATCCTTTTTTGGGACTGGAACAATGTTGGCCAACCACGTTGGATACTCAGACACAAGCAAGAACCCTGCCTCTATCTGTTTGGTAACTTCTTCCTTAATTTTCAATGCCCAATCTGGACGGATTCTGCACAACTTCTGCTTGACGGGTCGGGCCTCGGGGTCAAAAGGGATCCAATGCTGTACAATCTCAAGATCGATTCCAGGCATGTCATCGTAGGACCACGCAAAACATCTTTGAAATCTTTTAATAAAGCGACTAAGTGCTCGCACTCCTCCGAAGATACCGTGGACCCGATCTGGACCAGACGCGGATCCTTCTTAGTACCCACATTAAAAGCAATGATTTCATCAGCAAGGGATTTTGCAAACCTCTCTTCCTCTCGATTAACAAATTTTTCAAAACCAGAGGAATTCCTTCCTCATTGTTTTCATTAAAATTCTGAAAATCTTGGTCAACGCAATAAACAAGTGGCACAGAGAAATACTCAGAATCAACAGCATTCTCATTCATAAAGTCCAGCTCATCCAGCTCTTCAGTTATAACCGACTCAAAAGTAAAAGAAAAAGAGGACCTGGACAAGACCTTGGCATTCGGGTTATCACTCCCAGGAATATCGAACTCAGACTCAGAGGAACAGGAATCTAATTCCAACTCCACAGACTTTGTGGAATCAAATTCTAGCTCATTACCCGACTCAGAACTAGGCAGGTAGCCCTCCTCCAACTGCCAGACGAGAGATGGTGCTTCAAATGCATCCAAAATACTACTAGATGGGTTCACACCCGGTTGGTCCCCAATCATGGAGATGGTCAAGTTATCCCTCAAGCTCTCTGAGTTAGCCGAA